ATAATTAATAAACCACTAATAAAAATCAATTATCCAATTTTATAATCACAGTATCAATTCTAGTAATCATAAAGGTGGGCAGAAAAGGCTGCATATTGCTTGATTCTATTCTATGCATGTTTACATAGATACATCTACAGACAAGAACTAAAGGGGTCACCTGGAGCTGGGGGCGCACATGGAAGATGATTAAAATGTTTTAAAAAATTGACTGATGGCTGCATGGCCTTGCAAATATGAGTGAATTATATGGCATGTGGATATCATCTCACTAAAGCTGTTAGCAGGGAGCGCAGGCAGACTCAGCTGCAACCCAAGAGCTGCCCGGGGAGCCCAGCAGCCAGCCCTCTGCAGGAGCCGCGATGACGGGGCAGACCTGCTCGGCCCTGTAGGGTTTCTGATTCGGACCTGACTCGAGTACTGGGCAGAGCTGTCATCAAAACAGAGTTTCCCCTCATGGACCAGAGGTACTTCCTGTCTGTCAGGGAATCTGCATTTTCCACCCTTGGTCCACATGTGCATACCGTTTTAACAGAAGATTTCCATAAAGAAAATGGAAACTATGAACTACCCCAGTCTAGTTTCACCAACCAGGGTTAGAGTACAATCCAAGTGCAGTCTTAGGTAGAGGCCCGCCCCCAGCAGACTGCTCTGGAGAACCCCAGGCTCAAGAGGGCAGTGAGAGCATCTCTTGAGTCTTGTGTGGCTGACTTCCCCAGCAACTGGGGAGGACAAGTGAGGCCAATGCCACACCCAGAAGAGATGAGGCCGGGCCTGCACAGCCGCACCTCTCCCTCAGTGACATGTGCACACGTGTTCACACAGCAGACTCCACCCCACCCCACCCCCCACCCCGCAAGCACTCACATGGACACAATTCACATTTTTTTCCTTGACAGATTGGACACCTACCGAAAGACCACCTACCTCTAGAAAATCACCCTACAAAGGAGATTCTGAATTCCCCTTCTTCCTGCATTGCCTGGGATAGGGAGACCACCCACTCCAACTCCCATACGGCTAGCAGCTGACTGCTACCGCAGGCCGGGGCCCTTTGATGGAGAGTCATCCTTTTTTACAGAGTTGCTAGCAGCCCTGACATAGGAGAACCTTGTTTACAGGTGTGGCATCACAGGTGTCAGTCACCTGCCATGTTCATTCCACCCTGTCTCCCTAGGCACAGTGTTGAAAGAGCGGGCCGGACCTAAACACAGGGCCATCTTCCAGAGCCGATGGACACAAGGGGCTCTCACTCACCAAGGTCTCAGCTAAATGGGGAAAAGCCGGGGGGAGACGAGACCCAATACCTTTCACCCAGGGACACGAGAGCCCAGGCTGCCATCCCTCTACTCAGGGCAGCATCCCACCTGCAGGGCTAAGGGCCACTGGGGCAGGGGGCACAGGATACACTCACTCCTGGGTTCCCCTTGTGGGACCATAGCTCTTCCCCTGGCTCCCATTCTCACACCGGCACCTGCTGCCAGAGCCCCATCTGGCCTTGGACTCCGAACCCCACCACCTCCTAGGGCCCCTGATGGCACGGGTCCAGTCACAGAAGAGTAAGTGAAATAGCACCATCCTGTCCCAACACCCCACCCTACAGGGGTCTGAGCAGCAGAGGGAGGAGAGCACGGAGGGCACACGGGGTCAGAAACTCTCCCAGTTTAGGAGGGTCCAAGGCCATGCCTGGCTACCTAAATAATCTACAGATGTCCAGAGAACATAGTGAGTTTATTGAAAATGGCAAGAGTGGCCACATGAGAAGGTAAGACTGCATGTTTACATTCCTCCCCTCGGCTTGGGCCCACCTTGAACACTAAGAGCAAGTCCAGGGGTTTAGGATGAACGTGGAGACCCCATGAGGCGCCCCAGCCAACCTCAGAGCTCCAGTCAATTTTATCATGACACATCTACGTGTCACATTCAGAAAAACACTCAAATATATATTTGAATACACACACACACACACACATACATATATACACCTTTTCTTTTCACATCAATCTTAAATAGCAGATTTGGTCTGTTTTAACTATTCCTGGAATTATGTAAAATCCTCTCAATTTATGAGCCACAGGAACTACGGAAGCTAGGCAACTGGCTCACCCTCCCTCTTCATCAGATCCCTCTACAAACAGAATCTGGGAAGCACGTGCACAACTGGGCCCCGTGTGGGCCAGCGCATGAGCACGCACGGAGGCAGGCCTGCCCTGTGCAGAGGAGCTAAGACAGCCCTGCAGAGTGGCGGTCCCTGATCTCCTCCTCTCAGTCTGCAACCCCATCAGACCCCCTGCATAGCTGACTGCACCAGCGGGGGTCTTCACCATTCTTGCACCTCAGGAGGCCCACGCCCAGAAAAATGGCCCTAACCCTGGGAAGGTCCTGTAAATGAGCGCAAGAAGAGAAAGGGGGGTTTGAGGATAAAGTAAATCTCTCTCAAAAAAAGAAAGAGGAAGAGGGAGCAAAGTGTTGTATCAGCACATGCACCATGACTCAGCAAATGAGGAGTGCTTCTGCCGCCTCCCTCTTCGCCAAAGACACCTGCCTACAACTAATGCCAGGGCGGGGCATCCGTCGCACAGGACCCCTCCGGAGATGACCACAGAGCTTAAAGGGCCACCCTCGGGGATACAGTTCTTTGTCTTTCCTAAGAAGATCGCTGTACATCTGATCATAGGTGGTTTTGAAATCGTAGACGTTCGGCTTGTCTGGGGCTGGTCCCGGGAGCTTCACATGGGTCCCCGTCCCGAAGGATCGCACACTGAATCCACGTTTGCTGGAAGACACAAAAGAGAGCCATAGTTGGATTAAATGAGACACAATGTTTATAACTTAATTTTAAACATTACTTTTATTCAAAGCTAAGAGTTCGAGAAAGCTGGGGAAACCCACCCCAAAGGAAGATGAAGGACCTGTCTCACTGCAACACAGAATTAGAACATTCCACCTAGAACTTCCCACCTCAGCAGTGGGGCTGTCTAACCTAGAGCCTAGCCTTCCTACAGCATCATGTTCACTGGTTTCTAAGAGTGACAGAATGTTCAAGAATCCCTCAGCACAGGGAACCCCAGTCCTCGACTTCCCAGGGTCTGGGGAAGCATCTCTTCATCAGGAACCAGACTACACACGTCACCAGAGCCCCCCTGTGGACCTGCAGGTGCCCATTTGGCTATGAGCATGAAGTCTGCTAAGACCACCAGAAGAGTAGGCTCAGACGAAGGACAACCAGCGGCAGTAACTGCGGTCTATGCGCTCATAACTTAGCAAAATTAAGTTAACGAAACTGACCACAAGTGTTTCCTGCTAAACTGGGAAGCCAGTGCGGGCAGTACAAGGCAGGCTTTCCTGGAGAGGGGGATGAAATGTGGCCTGAATGTGACAATCTGACTTGGGGGGAAACACACACACTAGTCTATCAGAAGAAAGGTGCCCCCCCACATGGGGCTTTAAAATGCAAAGACTCCGCTTCCTCAAGTCACTACAGTAGCCACCCATCCACTCCAGAAGTCACAGTTAACATGCAAGTCAGCTGGGTGGGAAAGTCTTTCAGACAGCCAAGATGGCAACCCTGTAAAGTATTAGATGTGTCTAAATAAAAAAGACGGCTTATGCTAATTTCATGTTTACACACAGGGCAAATGTCCTACTGTAGATAGGACAGCCCCAGAACAATCATTGGCTCAAACATGCTATGGTAGAACAGATATATCTAGTATGACCACCAATCCCAAAGAAGAGACAAAGGCATGGCCATAAAGTCCTCAGGAAAGGAATGGCCCTTAAGCACACACAGACAAGGCAGGCTCCATCTCTCTCCCTGTCAAGGAAGAGAAATGCAAAGCAGACACTCCTCTCCACCTGCTGTCTGGAGACCCTTCCCTCAGGTGTGTCTATGGTTTGGCTCGCTCCCACTAAAGTGCTGGTGCACCAATGGGTCGGGGGTGGGGGTGGGGGGGTTGTCCATCGGTCCTGGTCCCTGCTGGGTCTCAGCACCAGCAGCAGTGTGCCAGTCACTGCCTGTAAATTTGCAGTCGCTGGGCTGTGGCGCCATGGCTGACACGTGTAACTGGAGGGCAGCACCCAGCAAATGACAAGTGCACATCCTCTCTGACCTAGAAAACCACGCAAGGGCATACCTGCAGGTGCGTGTATGAAACAGCCACAGGTGAGGAGGCACACAGCTGCACAAGAGGCCGGAAATATGTTCCCATGGAGCAGGACACCGTGTGACTCCGAGACCAAGGGGTGGCAGACACCCAGAAGTGGAGCCACCTTTAGGTGGCAAAAGCACATGTGGAAGCTGTGTGGCCCCTCACTGGCTGACACAGGACTTCCTGCTCACAGGGCGTGTCCTCCGAGGACAGCAAGGGCACCCAATAGCTGCCTTGTCCAGATCCTGCACACAAAACAGCGTCTTTACGCTTGATCTTAGCCAAAAGTCCAGTGGTAAAAGCTAGTCCACAGTATATGCAGAGGCAGACAGACATGCATATACCAGGCTCTGATCTACATCTAGTCAACGTTAGCCATCTCAGCTAGAGTATTCTGTGATGGAAAAGGCGGTCTGTCTAGCCACGCCCTGTCACATGCCTCTCCCCACCAGCACCACAGACAGAACACAGAATCTTGGTTAACAGTCAAGAAAACAGAGTCCCCCAATTGTGCAAAGCCATCAAAAACACAAGTGCCCAGGTTTGGTGGTAACTTCAGGAAAAGTGAGGCAGGGGCAGCGGGCGAGTTAGCTAGGGCTGGAACAGAACTCAGTCTCAGTGCAGCAAAGTGGGGGCGCCTTGACCAGGTTGGTCAAGAGGTACCCACAGACCCATTTCCACAGCAACTATAAAAATGTACAGTACTTGGTATGACTGAACGATTGAACTGTATGGTATGTAAATTACATGCCCCCAAAGAGTAAAGCAGCTTTGTCTGGCAAAAGAGCCGAGATGGAGGCATCCTTCCAGATAACGTGGGGCGGCCCCAGATAACGTGGGGCGGCCATCTGCGCAGCCCTGCCCTGGGGGTCCACAAAACCAACCCACCCGAGCCAGCACACGGCACACTTGGAGGATGAGGGCTGCATCTACCTCACAGGCCCCAGCCTGAGGCACGATTCCCACCCGGACACACCACTGAGTGCTCAGGAGCCCCGCCGCCAGATCCTGCCACGAGTGGGTGATGACGCTGGGCAGCAGCAGCCCACCCGCTCCTAGAGGAGTGCTGCCTGCCAAGGCAGATTTTTTAATCAGGCATTTTACTGGGGACTCTTACAGCTCTTATTGCCACCCATACATCAATTGTATCCAGCACATTCGTACATACACGTCGGCATCATTTTCAAAACATTTTCTTTCAACGTGGGCCCTTGGTATCGACTCCTTTTTTTCCTCTCCCTCCTTCACCCTCGTGAACACGATACATTGCTTCCATATCTTACACGGACCGCTATCTCCTTTCACCCAGTTTCTGTTGTTCATGTCCCTCTGGTTGGGGGTGATATTTCGATCACTGTGATTGGTTTCCCTTTTCACCCCCCCACCCTCATGGTATCGATACTCCCATTACTGTTCCTGAGGGGTTTATCTATCCTTGATTCTGTGTGTCAAGAGCTCTTATCTGTACCACTGGACATGCTCTGGTCTAGCCAGATTTGTAAGGTAGAACTGGGGCCATAATAGTGGGAGGGAGGAAGCATTAAAGAACTAGAGGAATGTTGTGTGTGTCATTGGTGCTACCCTGCACCCTAGCTGGCTCATCCCTTCCTTGTGACCTTTTATGACTGGGATGCTCAATTGTCTACCAATGAGCTTTGGATCTCCACGCCAACCCCCCTCAGTTCCCCTTGATGATTGTTTGTTTTGGGTCTTCTGATGCCTGCTAACTGATCCCATCAACACCTCAAGATCACACAGGCTGGTGTGCTTCTTCCATGTGGCCTTTGTTGCTTCCCTGCTAGATGGCTGCTTGTTTAATGTCAAGCCTTTTATGCCCCAGATGCTATATTTTGTAGTAGTAGGGCACCATCAGCTTTCTTCACATTAGCTTATGTACCCATTTTGTCTTCAGCAATGGTGTTGGGAAGGTGAGCATCACATAATGCCAGATTATTAGAACAAAGTATTCTGCATTGAGGGAGGGCTTGAGTAGAGGCCCAATGTCAGTCTGCTACCTTAATGCTTAACATATAAATATGTACTTCAGATCCACATCCGGTAGTCATTCGTTAGTATATTTACATAGTTTATACCTCTGTAAATGTCTTTTGGGAGGCAGTTTTCTAAAATTATTTCAGATCTAGTGCCCCCTCCGTCCCTGACCACCCTGATCGCTTTGTGCACTTTGCCCAGTCAGACAAACCCACATTTCTCCTAACATAGAAAAAAGGCACAACCACAGCTGCCTGAACTTTTTATGCGCCCCTTACTCTATGCTGAGGATGCCTGCTGAGAGGACCCAGGGTCCCTTGTCACCACCTCCACTGTAAGGTGTCCCTAGTCCTAATCTGCTGCCCCCACACTGTTCATCCTTCCCTGGGGCAACAGTCTCTGAGACAGACCAGATCTCCTAAACCAGCAGAGAGAAGCGTGCTCCACTTCACACGCATACTGCGGCCCACCCGCAGAGCAACTGGAGTGTGCACACCTGTGGACGAAACTGAGCAGCCTGAGAGTGTAGGTTCCCCCACCCCCCCACTCTGGGTGATGAAGGGCCATGGGGGCATGAATTCCAGATCAAAGGGTCAGTAAGCACAGGCACATCCACTGTCCCTTTAACCTATGCCCAGGGCTGGCGAGGTATCCTCGGCTTCATCAGTGTGGCTCTAGCTCTGCCACTGTCTCCCCATTAACAGTCAAACCAGAGTGCCCAGTGCCCAGGTACTGTGATGCTTGTTAGCACTGGGGTTGATAAAACAAGTGAACTGCCTCTGATTCGGTAGGGAGGGAGGCCAGTGAAAAGGGAAACCAGGAAGTCCTTTTTGTGAGGTTGCGTGCAGTAATGTGGAGCAGGCGGGCCGGGCAGAAGCCTCTCCCAGGAGATGAGTGAGGGGAGGAGGAAGATGTTCCTGAGTAGAAGGGAGTGGGCATCCAGAGATGCAGTGGGCAGGCACAGGGCGGTCCAGCTGCTGGAGGAACAGCAAAGAGGCCAGAGAGGCTCCCACGGCAGAGGCAGGTGGTGCCTGAAATGAGCCAGGAAGGAGCCACGCCATCAACACCATAACAGCCACTTGACTTGGGAATCCCTTGGCTCAATAGAAATTTTGCCACCTGGCAGAGCAGGTCTCCACTTA